TTGTTACAATAGGAACGAAGGGATTGCATGATATAAGAATTCATTCTTTCACAGGCAGCATTGGTTTGAGGGTGATAACTACTGGTATAATGTCTAGTAACATCGCATAACTCGCAAAGAGCTTGAACAAGCTTGGACATGAAATTGGCACCACGGTCAGATATGATACAACGCGGACTTCCCCAGCGGCATATTATTTCATTAAATAGTACTTTAGCAACCACCTTAGCTTCCATTGATTTTAAAGGAAACGCCTCACACCATTTTGAGTAACTATCAACAACCAAAAGCAGGTATCTATGTTTGTAAGGTGTTGTTGATAGCTCTAAAAAATCCATATGCATTCTTTCAAACACATTTTCAATTGGCAAAGGAGTAAGGGGTACTGGTCTCTGATGTTTAGAGTTCTTTGATTTCTGGCACTGCTCACATGTTCTAACATACTTGTCTATGTCGGAATACATATTTGGCCAATAGTATTTTAACTGTAAGGAAGCATGATTTCTTTCAACACCTGGATGAGCTGCCATTTTACTATCATGATAACATAACATCACGTCATGGCGCAGAACAGTTGGAACACAAAGTTGTTTTACGAAATTGTGGCCTGGAGGAAGTTTTCTTGAATTCTCGGAAACCATATGGTACAAAATGCCTTCAATAATTTCATAATGGTATGCCTTTGCAACAAGAGATCTTGCCTTCTGAACCTCATCTGGAACAAGTCCTTTTAGTTTATAGTCAAAAATTGGTTTGAAGTCTGGACAGTTTCTTTGTAGCTGGTACAAGGTTTGACGTGTTGGTAACATCTCATCAGGATCTTTAACTTGGTCCTCATCAATAGCTAGAACTTCCGGGATTCGGATGCTGTTTTGCCAGCCAAACTCAAAGGTGACTGCTATATGTTCCTTTCTTTCAGCATGTAGTGAACCAATCTCTGGAAGGTCATCATCAGATTGGTATTCCTTGTCTTGGCTATCTACCGGATAATCTCTTCTTGACAATGCATCAGCATTTTGGTTCTGGGTACCTGGTCTATGAATAATGTCGAAAGTGTACTGCTGTAGAAACAATGACCAACGCCCAAGTCGTCCAGTAGCATCTTTTGAATTATTTAGCCATCGCACGGTTATACTATCAGTGTAAACTGTAAACTGATTGTTTGCTATATACGGTTTGAAAGTTTTTATAGCTTCAATTAGAGCTAACCCTTCTTTGTGATTGATATGCCAACGTTTTTCTTGATCTCTTAAACCTCTACCTCCATATGCAATAACTTTTTCTAGTCCTTCATGATCTTTTTGACCTAATACATAACCAATTGCTGAATCTGACGCATCTATTGACAGGAAAAACTCTTTTTCAAAATCAGGAAATGCAAGAATTGGTGCAGTTGTCAGTTTTTGTTTTAATGTATTGAATGCATCATCTTGTTTTGTTGTCCAATCAAATTTTACATCTTTCTTTGATAGTGTTGTAAGAGAGGAACAAATTTTACTGTTGTTTTGAGTAAACTTTCTGTAATAGTTGCACATACCCAGAAAGCTACGTAGTTGTTTGACTGTTTTTGGTATGGGATATTTAGAAACTGCAACTGTTTTAGATTTGTCAACCTGTATGCCATGTTCAGAGATAATGTGTCCTAAATATTTAACTTGTTTTGCGGCAAAATGACATTTGGAGGGTTGTAAAGTTAATTTTGCTTGTTTTAGTTTTTGAAATACCAGATTTAAATGTTCCAGATGTTCATCAAAGTTTTTGGAAAACACTAATATGTCATCTATGTATATAAGTGCAACCTTCCAATTTAGTTCTTGTAAGACTTTAGTCATTAACATTTGAAATGTTGCAGGTGCATTTGTTAAACCAAAACACAATCTCTTAAATTGGTATTGACCTTGTGGTGTCATGATAGCTGTTTTGTGTTTTGACTGTTCATCAAGTGGCACCTGATGAAATCCGCTAGCAATATCAAGCGAACTGAAAATTTTAGCTCTTGAATAGCCAACTGTATTAACAACCTCTTCTATTTTAGGAATTGAGAAAGAAACTTTTTTAGTGACCTCATTCAATTTTCTGAAGTCTAATACGAACCTGTACGTATTGTTTGGGTTTTTCACTAAGATTACACTGCTATGGTAAGGAGACATTGATTCTTCTATGATGTCATTTTCTTTGAGATTTTTGATTTGTGTCTCTATAACTTCTTGCATTTTTGGTGAATATTGAAACCGTTTAGATCTAACTGGTGCTTCATTTGTCGTTTCAATGTTGTGATAATGCAGATCTGTTTTGCCTAATTCAGAAGCATCTTTTGCGAAAACACGCCTATTTGTTCCTATTAATTTTAGAAGTTTTTAATGTTGCTCTTTTGTTATGTTAACCGAATCAATTTCCTTAGCAATATTTTTAAATAGTTTTGTTTAAAATATTATATAAATATTGCTAAGGAAAAATACCTTATTTTTCCTTGGTGATATGTATACTAAAGAAATTTATCCTGTTGAACTTATTTTAAATAAAGCTAATACTAACAATGACCACTGTCCTTTCCTCGATCTTGATATCTATATCATTAACGGGAAGCTTAATACAAAAATTTATGATAAAAGAGAGGATTTTTTATTTCCTATCGTTAATTATCCATTTTTAGATGATGACGTTCCCTTGTCACCATCTTATGGTGTTTATATATATCCCAACTTGTACGATTCGCTCGTGTATGTAACAATGTATTAGATTTTAGCGAGAGAAATTTATATATTACTGAAAAATTATTACACCAGGGTTTTCGATATCATAAACTAGTCAAAACATTTACTAAATTTTATCATCGGTATAAGGACATCATTCGTAAATATAACTCAACATGCAGACATCTTATACGTTCGGGTATTTCACATCCAATCTTTTATGGTAATATTCTTTACAAAGCACAAAAATGTCAGTATTCACCTCAAAAGCTAACAAAACCTTTAAACAGACTTATTAAGAAGGGATATAGTTACGATACTGTTGTCAGGTCATTATAGATTGCATATTTTGGCTTTATATTGATTCACTTATAGGGTCTTTGCATCGGAATTAAACATATTTATTCTAAAACCAGTTGTTGGCATGACACGGGTTATGTTCTTCTCATATATTTTATGACGGTATAATACTAAACCCCTAACAGGAGGGATTGTGCCTGATATTCATATGATGAAGACATAATCTCCTTCAATCAGTTTAATTGAGGTCTGGAGCTGGCATGTCAGTAACTGCTAGTAGTCTGTTGTTATTTATGTATTATTGTCATTTTGTTTATTTTCTTTTGTTTCCTATTCTGACATCGGACTCGGACTTCTCTTAAACTGAGTTTTACTGTGCGTACTGTTGTACGTTTGTTTTTCTACATTGGCTAGAGGTATAGGGGGAGGGTTGAGATCTCAAAAAACATGTTTAACCCCGCCGCATTTTTGCGCCTGTCCCAAGTTAGGAGCCTCTGGCCTTTGTTAGTCTTGTATTATTTTTAATTTTAGTTTCTTGTGTATAATTTGGAGTTTAGCATGACGTCCATTATCACTGAACTGGTATACATATTTGTTTAGGGGCCAGCTGAATGACGCCTCCGGGTGCGGGAGTTTCTCGCTGCATTGAAGACCCATTGGTGGCCTTCGGCTGTTGTCTGCTCTATGGTCGGGTTGTTGTCTCTTTGACACATTCCCCATTTCCATTCTCAATTTAATCTTAATATTGAAGACATGATCACTGTGATAGGCCACTAGTCTAAATGCTACATGTTAAGATAGTCGGTAAGATAATTCTTTACACAGTGTGCTAGTGACCTAATACGATAAATATGGGGTCAGTAAATTCCATATGAGGTGAGAGCGAAGCACCCCATATGGAATTTACTGACCCCATATATATCGTATTAGGTCACTAGCTTCGCTCTCACCGCATATGAAATTTCCTGACCCCATATATATCATATAAGGTCACTAGGACACTATGTAACTAATAATATACTTGTATTAGAAAATTAGGATGTTAACTTTTTCACATACCAAGCCCTGTTAGTATATGTTATTCGTGATTTTCACAGGGAATATGAGCCCATATCCCTTGCGAATTCCGAAAACAATTATTATGGAGTTCCTGATTTCAACACTTTTTTTTGTAATTTACCCCCACGCTTCTAGCAATGTCAAACACAAGACAAGACATAACAAAGCTCATACAGAATGACAGGAGACAAATAACGACCATCGCTGTGATATCAGATGTGCGTTTCGCTTTTCTTATTTCTAATATACCTATTAGTTATATGTGTTTTTATATATGCGTTTATGGTATTTGTTTGCTGTTCGATCAATTGCTTCCATCAAATAAAATGATTTCCTTGATAAAAGGGATTATCTTCTGTTTCAAAAACAACTAAGAAAGGAATCAGAAGAGAGACGAAAGATACCAAAGGGACATTCAAACTCATAAGTCGAAAATAAACTGACAAAGCCATGGCTAAAAAATAAAAAGACCAACAGACAAACAATAGTACACAAAACACAACATAGAAAACTAAAGACTGAGTAACACGAACCCCACCAAAAACTGGGGGTGATCTTAGGTGAGTGAGACTAAGTTGTTTAGAGTCCTCACTGCACCAGTGCAGATTTTGAGTTTACCATTGTGACTTTATTCTGTAATGTTACTTTATTTAAGTAATTTAAGTTATGTTTCAGTAAATGACTTTTGTCATAATGAATTTGACTAGCAGTCTTTGACTAGCAGTCTTTGACTAAATGATTCTGCTTTTTGGATTATCCAAGCAAGGTCATTTCAATTGTCGTAGCAAAGTTTATAATATTTTCTAGAATTAACATATAATTTACCTTACATAAGATAAATTATGCAGGAAAAAACATTGGCGTTTGTAATTTACTGACTTCATTATGGCTAAAGACTTTTTTGTGATTTCAATGACATCCCGAGATTTCATTTCACATTAGGTAAGATAGAAGACAAATATATTTTATTGCTTTCATCATAAATTACACAATTGCCACAATATACATTAGTTAGACAAACACACATATACATATCTAGAGTTCATTGTTTGTGCATCCCGTAAGGCTCTGTTTGGCCAGATTTAGGAAATACATCTATGTAACTGTCTTCGCACCCAAAGCACAAACATGATCGGCAGTACGATCCTGTGTCATTTAATATTTTACAACACTTGAAACATCTCTCTAAAAATAAACAGCTCTGTTGTGTGCATCCTGAAAGTAAAAAAAAGTCAGTGTTATCATCATTAGTATTATTAATAATACCAATATTGTTAATTCATTTAGTTTGCATTCTCTGATTATCTGTTCAAATTGTAATTGTCGAACATATCGTTAACATCAAATTAGAGGCAAGAGTAGCTTAGCAATGTTCAAATTTCATTCATCCACTAAAAACATACAAATCATGGTGAAAACTAACCTGAGGACATAGCATTAAGTCAAAAAGAAACGAAACCGGTTCGTTGACAGGGTTAGCGCCCCTTGCTTTGATAATCAAACCTTTCTGGTAAAATGGACATTGAAGATTTTAGTTCTATTATTTTCGCCTCATCTGATGTTGATGTTCCTACTTTGTATTTTTTTATTCAAAAAGACGTTTTATACGTATTGTACTTCCTATAGGTCTGTCTCAGTCAAGCCTACGTTATAGACAAGTGCCATGATATTTGTTTTTACCCGCTTAGTATGCAGTTTCAGTCTGAGCAATTTTTGAATGCTGATTAAAAAAGTTAGTATAATGCAAACAAACACCCCCTCCCCTCCTTACCCCCAGCAAGCTGTTAATTCTGTAATACCGAATAATGACCAAAACACTGGTACAAGGAAAACAATTGAAAATTAAATCATACCAAATTGACGTTCATTTGGATATTATCATCACAAGCATTTTATGATTTTGAATTTCCATGCGTTTAGTCACGAGACCAGGTGTTCATTCTAGAAACAAGTGTCGTATGCATTGACATCGGTATCATTCGTTTAATATAATTGCAAAAAGATTAAGGTTAATCTTTTATAATGTTTATATACATACTTTGGTCAGGATTATTATCAAAACCACAGATGAAAGTTTTTCCCATTTTGATCTCCAGGTCTTCTTCCTGGAATTCGTTAAAAGCAATATTTTATTTCTGTCAATATTATCAGCAATTTATGATCATTAAGAAAAAAAGTACAAAAATATGAACATTGAACCAAAATAACGAGTTCAATTATCACCGGTCTAGCAACAGAAACAGCGGAATCGAGCAATATGAGATACGAAGTCCAGCGCTACAGATGTAATCTTTAGCGATGAAGATGTAAAGCCAGGCGCTAGAGATGTAAAAAGGGTTGCAGTTAGTGCGTCTAAGTAATAAATTAATATTCAGGTCAACAGTCCCTATTTACCTTCAATTCCAGAAACATATACGTGTTGCATAACTACAATATATGTGCAAGTTTCACTTTAAACCACATCGTGGCTTTTTGTGGCGGACCATACATACTTTTTAATAAACCCCCTTTGGTCCCCAACATTCCCTTATGAACCTTAATTCCAAAATAAGTATATTTTTTAAACTACAGTATTTATAAATTATTCTGATAAATAATTCCTTACGACCCTTATGAACCAAAAATGGAAAAAAAACGTACGGCTTTTACAATGAGCAAAACCGTATAGCCAGCTATAAAAGGCCCCGACGTTACAAAATGTAAAAACAATTCAAACAAAAATACACCATTGAATTATAGGCATATATAGAGAGCGGCGGGGTGAAACATGTACCCTCCCCTAACCTGAGGTAGTGGTGTAGCAGTACTACATATGACCTGCATATGAACAAACTTTTAAATCAGTTAGAAATAGCTTAACTCATCATATTGGTACGAAGCAAAAACAACAACTACGATAAAGACAAAATACAAAGTACAGTTCTAAGAGGATCCTCAGTTATTGAAGCTTGTTTAAAGCCAATAACAGCTTATAAATAAATTTTGTTGTCCCAGACTAAAGTATCAATCAGTACATATCCAATGAATTTAATGAAAAGATGTGATAAACAGACTGAGAAAGGCATGACGTTGAGCAATGCCAAAATAAAAATACATAATATCGACCGGATTTATGACCATAAGTTTTAATAAATGTATAGCAATAAATATTTAGCTATGTTTTGATTAATCAAAAACAAAATCAATGTTATAGTACCGATCAACACAATATTCAAATATCTCACTACTGTGATAAATTGTGTCCTTTAAGAATAAGTTTGTTCAAAGGAATAACTAGTTTACAGTTTTGTCAGTTTTTATGGACCTCCCCGTTTTGTATTTACCTTGGAGTTCAGTATTTTTGTTATACTTTTCTATATGGATCGCATCTATTTAAGGGGTTTATAAACAGCATACCCGTAATCATTAAGATGTGCTATCCCGTCTACAGGGTTAATTTTGGCATCGAGCATCACTGAAGAGACATTGATTGTCGAAATGCGCATCTGGTGGAGAAAAATTGGTACCGTTTATGTTATTATTTAACCAAACTTCAGAACCAAATAGTTGTATCTATGAAAGAATGTTCTACCAGAGACTAAATAATGTAAAAGTCTGCAGTTAAAAGGGATGCAATTGGTTCCCCATGTGAATACTTACAACCTACCGATAAACCTTTTTGCTAAAACGTTATCAAGGAGAAAATTTACAGATTTAATCATCTCATTAAAGATCAGCAAGTAAATCTGCAATCAGATTTTTCAAAGGATCATTTAATTGAATAAGAAAATTCTATTTTGACAAGATTGTTTGGAAGAAGAGTATGGAAAAGTTATTACTGTTAACCAAATTGAACGGTAACGAAAAGATGTTACGGACAAACAAGGCCATTGCAGGAAACCACCCTCTCCGTGAGTAAGGGTGTTAGATATTTGGAAAAACCAAACATACAGGTATAAATATTGAAAGGAATTGTAATTGTATCGACTAGCAGATATTGTAATATATCAGCTGCAAGTCACAATATTTTTTTTTAATATTTTTAATTTTTTTTTTAAGTCAAAGCAAGTCACAATATTGAACTTTTTGTCGAGTGAGCCTAGGGAAAGAGTCCATAAAGACTTCATATTGTAACCAGCAGCTGATATTATACAACATCAATATGATGTGGTTTTTTTTCATGATAGAAACAATAGTCATTCTTTGTTCATAAGCAAATCGCAAGAGGACTTGACAAGTTCGGGTCAAATTTATCAACGTCTGTTCAAACATTATGATGTCGATTAAAAGTCCCGGTCAAATCTATGAAGACCGGGCAAACGTATTTGAATCACGTGAGCTGAGCAGAGCGATACATGCCGAGGAAATACCAATAATAGTGTTAACACTTATTTGATAAAATAAAATATTGACATTTTTGCATATGTCAAATAAATATTAACAAAATAAGCTACGTGTTATTTTGACAGAAGCAGGATAATTACTCCAACTGGCAGGATATTAACATGTTATAAATGCAGACAACGTGAAAGTGGATATTCAATATCGTATTCAAGTATATTTAATCTAACCGTTAAAGTCCCACTACTCTAGAAGGCAAATCCTGTGATTTTAAGAAAAGAAAGGGGACTAACATTCACAAGTCAAAGCAACAATGTAAAGTTGGAAGTTAATTGAACCAAGCATACTCAAACTATTGCGCCACATTTGATTTTTTTTATTAATCTGACAATTAAATCTAATTAAAATTACTCTTTAATGACTAATCTTGAGAATGTCGAGAAACAATAGTGTAAAGTATCAAGTAAATCTAGCTAGAGTTAGTCCACGACTTATAAAAACTTGACCTACATCCCATAACTATGGAACGACATTGAAAATAGTAGGGAAGCCTTATTTCACAGATTGAAATAAGCCATAAAATTTTCGACATTTTATTAAAGACTATATTAGCCTTTGTGCGACCTGGGGACGGCGGACAGCGGACGGGTTGATGGACGAACAGACGAGCCATTGCATATATTATAATACGCGCCATCTTAGACTGCGGATGAAATCTTTCACAGATTCAAATATGCCAAACAAATTTCTCGAAATTTGATAAAAGAAAGATGGAAGGAAAGATAGGCAGTATTATATGATAACACGCGCCGTCTTAGACTGTGTATAAAATCAAAAATGGAAAACCATATTTTTCGTAAAGATTTAAAGATCTGCTTGTTTACATTTGCTAACTTTATTTAGAAATATGATATATCATCCATGTTTAAATTTTTACCTTTAAACTTAAAACGTCACAGAATATGTTAAACGTAGATTTGCATCCAATAGTAATGACAACTATATACAAGTGACAACAGGAAAAATATTTTATAAAATCTTAATCTGTGAACTAATTGTGAATCTATGAAAAAGTCCCATATTTGTTATGGTGAAACAAATTTCAAATACGGTAAGGATTCTAACACGGTATGAAGTATTTTGTTACCTTTCTTTTGCTTTAAATGTGAGATCGTATAACTAGAAGTTCTTTTAATTTTGCATAGTATTGCTACAATGCAACAATGATTTAGCATAGTGCTTGAATAATTAAAAACCTAAAATCTTATGAATGTTGTTATGGCTTCAAATGTTGCATGATATTTTCTTGTTCACGATGTTCGTTCAAAATTGTTTCATTTCTTAATTTACTAAATTATATATAACATAACAAAAAAGAATTTAAATATAAATATGAAGTACTGCATTTATTTTTAACCAACTTGTTTACATTTGCTAACTAAATTTAGATATATAATAAATTATCTATATTTAAATGTTCACCTTTAAACTTAAGACGTCACGGAATATGTTAAACGTAGAGTTTGCATCCAATAGAACTGACAATTATATACAAGTGACAACAGGCAACATATTTTATAAACTATCTTAATCTATGAACTAATTGTTGATCTATGAGTCCCATATTTGTTAAGGTAAAACAAATTTCAAATACGGTAAGGATTCTAACTCAGTATGATAACAAAAAAGAATTTAAATATTATTTCTTATGCCTTCCTGATTATTGCTAGCCGAAAGAAAAAAAATAATTAACGAGAACAACATCTATGCATAGAAGAATTGGTTAACCAAAAATAAATTCATTTGAAAGTAGAAAGGTTTTACTCAAATAATATGAAGTACTGCATTTATTTTTAACCAACTTGTTTACATTTACTAACTAAATTTAGATATATAATAAATTATCTATATTTAAATGTTCACCTTTAAACTTAAGACGTCACGGAATATGTTAAACGTAGAGTTTGCATCCAATAGAACTGACAATTATATACAAGTGACAACAGGCAACATATTTTATAAACTATCTTAATCTATGAACTAATTGTTGATCTATGAGTCCCATATTTGTTAAGGTAAAACAAATTTCAAATACGGTAAGGATTCTAACTCAGTATGAAGTATTTTGTTATTTTTTGGCTATAAATGTGAGATCATATAACTATAAGAACTTTCAATTTGTTCATATTATTGCTGGGAAGCAACCAAGATCTAGCTTAGTGCTTGAATACTTAAAAAAACTATTTTTTTATGACTGTTTTTATGTCTTCAAGTGTTGCATGATATACATGTATGCTTGTTCACGATGTTCATGCAAAACGTATTTGTTGGTGGAGTTGACCTTCCCGAGGTTATCGCCAGCCCAGTAGATAACACTTCTGTGTTGACATGAATTTTCATTGATATTGTCATAATTATAAATTAACTTTTTTCAAAACTTTGAATTTTTCGAAAAACTAAGGATTTTCTACCCCAGAAATGGACTATTTAAGCTGTATTTGGCAAAACCATTCGCAATTTTAGGTCCTCAATGCTCTTCAACTTCCTACTTTATTTGGCCTTTTTCACTTTTTGAATCGAGGTGATTGATGAGTCTTTTGTAGACAAAAAGCGCGTCTGTCATACATAATTTTAATCCTGGCATCTATGATGAGTGTATTGTCACAGAAATAATTATAGAGTGGCCAAACTATTTCAATTTTAATCTACTGATAACTTATAGTAACACTAAAGAGTTTTAAGAATACTTTCCTATGCCTTCCTGATTACTGCAGAAGATTAAAAAAAATCCTTTCTTACAACATGTATCCATAAAGAACTGGTATACCCAAAAATTTTACAGTGGAAAGGTTTATGGTTATTTGTAATTTTGGGCATAATTTATTCATTTAACAGGAAGTACTGCTTTTATTTTTAACCACCAATGGCGTCATGATTTTAAAAATGGCGGCTTTTCAAAAAAATATGGCGCTTGTTTGTAAATTAAAATGGCGGGACGCCCTTTTTATTACTGATGTATAATTTCTTAAGACGTCTGCGAGTAAGCAATATGGTATGTTATTTTCAATAGATAATATAAGACTGAATAAATAAGTAGAAGAATAAATACTATATTTGTAAAAACAACAGTAATAAGTGTGTAAAATCAACAAGGTAATCTTTGTTTCAATTTGCAGCCTCCAAGACATAAACTTTGAAAAATTGAAAATATTCACCAAGACTTATAAGAAAATTTTTCTCATAATTCGTATTTGATAGATCAAATAGGTATACGAACCATGACTGTTGTCTGTGTTGCGTTACATGCAGTATATTAATCACGTGTGATTTTTTAATTTGAAGGCATGCGCGTTACAAACATCTGTCAGTTTATTCTTAATTCTTTAAAACAAATTAAGTGTAAATAAAAAAATTTGTAACACAAAAAAGTGGACTTTGATATAGATATGTAGGACTATGGTCAGCCTAGATTTATCTGGCAATACTACCCATGCTAAGGTGGTGATCTTATGGATGTGCGGGATTGATAAATACGCATCCACGTCCGGTCGAAACGAGGATGTTAAAACCAATATTCCATGTTTGGAGAGTTTCGTGTTCTTCACATGTAACAGAATTTTTTGAAATAACAATTTTAAGGATCCATTTCAGGCAAAGCAAAATTTTTGACATAATCCAACTCGCCATCCTTTTTTCCAATTGCATTAAGATTTTCTACCATCCCGATTTCATAAGATAATGATTGACTCCCTAAAATGTTACCCCAAAATCAAAATCATTTAAGGAAAACTGGCCCCAATGTGTTGTTATATCTTTTTGAAGATGTGAACATTATTACAAGATGAATAGTTTTTAATGGTAGGGGAGGGATACAAATATCATGAATATGAAAAAGTGGTGTGATACCATTTCCAGTTTGTGTTTTCATTAGAATATTTCAGATGCTGAGCTAATTTCAAATTCTGACATCAGGTTGGGGTCGGGTTTCCATGAAAGGAAAAGATGTTAAGTGGACCATTATTAATAGATTAAATAGTTTAGATGCAGTGATAAATTGAAAATTTGACATATATGCGAGGAGGGGGTTAAATTCCCACGGTAGGAGGGATAAAATACTATTAATACAAAAGTTCTGTCATACCTTTTTAAACATTATATTTATCATTTCTAATACTTTGTAGAACATAGTGAAAATAAGTATCTAAGATGCAGATATTACTTGAAATTCTAGCATCTGTAAAAGAATACAGATACCTATTCATTTCAAATCTGTATGATCATTCAAGATAACACATTGTTTGTGACAAATACAAATCACAAAATATATATTCTTATTCTAGTATAATCACTGTTGAATATCTCAAAATTTAGTTCGTTTGGAATTCTGATGTGTGGGTAAATTTTCCATGGCAGCTGGTCTAAACATGACATAAGATTTATAATGGAGCATTAAAACTCGATTAAGTATTAAAAAAAACGAGTTAATTTGAATTTATGTCATTCGTGTTGGTCAAATTTTCACGTTATTCATTAAGAATTCTTATTGGAGCATTATGACTCGATTTGAAATGTCAAAAACAAATAACTTTCTGGAGGGATTCAATTGTCAATGGTTGTGGATCAAAATAAAACACATTTTATTCATTAAGGATTGTTACTGGAGCACTACGACTCGTTTAGATGTATGAAAAGCTGTTAGAATTTGAAACTTTGGTTTAATTTTCTTGTTGGATGAGTTACAATACCATTGCTGAGAAAAACAGTTTTAGTTTCGTTTATCATAATTTATTCCTTATATTTCCTTATCCAGTTATGTTGTCTCCTTAGCAATGTAAATTGACCAAGCCACCAACCCCATTGATGTAAGAATTACAAATTATTTTGGTATTTTAGATACTGAACATATTTAATGATAATGCTACAATAATTATCTGGAATGAAATGAATAAAATATGTTGGAAAATATGTAACATCAATTTTTTATTACTCAAATAAGTATCCCAAACACTTTTCTGAGTCATAGTTCTTGGAATCCCTTACGTTGGAATTTGACACCCCACATTTTAGAAACTCAGTTATCATAGCTATTATGATAAGGTACATGATTAATATATAATGCACAAATTAAAAAAAACCACTTATGTTGGAAAATATATCAAAACAATTTTTGTCTCGCCTTGACGGAGTAAAAAAGCGAGACATAGGTATGCTGTTTCTGGCGTCGGCGTCGGCGTCGGCGTCGGCGTCGGCGTCGGCGGCGACGGCGGCGGCGTCAACAATGTATTAGTTTGTGATTAGGTCTAGTTTAAGGTGAACCACTAGTGGTTGGTCAATGATATTTGGTATGCAGTTGTATTAGCACTGGCACATCTTATTTCCATGGAGATTATTTGGCCCTGCCCTCTCAGCCATGGTCTATTGTCTTTGAAACTTTTGCTTAGTTTACATGTACTAGTTTGTGATTATGTCGGTTTATGGGGAACCACTAGTGGTAAGTCAATGATATTTGGTATGCAGTTGTATAAGCATTGGCATATCTCATTTCCATGGAGATTATTTGGCTCCGCCCGCTCAGTCGTGGTCTATTGACTTTGAAACTTTTGCTTAGTTTACATGTTTTAGTTTGTGATTAGATCAGTTTAAGATGAACCACTAATGTTAAGTCAATGATATTTGGTATGCAAATTCATTGGAATTTGCAAGTCTCGTTTCCATGGAGATTATATAGCCCCACCCCTTTATCATTGTTCACTGACTTTGAAACTTTTACATAGTTTACAAGTCAATGTTTGTGTTTACGTTTGTTGAAAGGGAACGACTTATGATAAGTCTATGGTATTTGGTATGCAGTTGTATTAGCATTAGCACATCTCATTTCCATGGAGATTGTTTTGCCATGTACCTTCAGTCATGGTTCATTGACTTTGAATATTTGCATAACTTACATGTTAAAGTATTGCTATTTTAATTTCAACATTTGCATTATCAAAAGTACAAAAAGGCGAGACATATCTCTGTGTTAACAGTTTATTTCTGATTTTTATTTATTTTAAATCACAAATTACGATATAACTTTGACACCGGTAAAAGTACCATGGCTCAGAAAAAACTGTGTTGTGATATTATTCCCAATATTTTTCTTTCGAATACATATGTGATCATTATAACTTATAAAATATTCTAGAAAATTGACTCACCCTTTAGAACTTGAACAAAAATTGGGATATTTTTAATAAAATTGTTACAATAAGAATTTGAAATGAAAAAAATATTGTTTAAAATATATCACAAAGCATTTTCTGTGAAAGTGATATTTTTGATAAATGTCACGAGCTCGGAAAATTGAATTACCTTCCAAGAGATGTCACCTTTTCAACCTACTTAGTAAAGTTATAATGATCCAATAACAATATCACAAGTCTTTCTTAGCCATGGTATTTGCTACCCCCCCCCCCCCCCCCCCTTTCTTACTTCGGAAAATTTGCACTCTAGACGTCCGAATTTGATGTTTTGGTGTATTTTTTATACTCAATCTAGTACAATGTTCCGATAAATATAAAAAAAGAAACAAAGGTGTGTTGGAATAGATGTAACAACTTGTGTCGGAGCCATGGTGTTCTGACTCCCTACTAAGGATAAATTGACGCCCCCGTTGTACGAATTTTAAATTATCATCACACTTAACTACTAGATCCATATTTAATGCTCCCATTATTATACTTATTGAATAAAATATGTTGAAAAATATATACTTTTATTTACCCACATTATTTTAACATGTCATTTACAAGGTAAAAATTATAGTTTACCGAAAATTTTACTGGTAAAAATTATGTTTCCTAATCACTAAGAATGTTGATATTCATCTCGTACATATACATTTTGAAAAAAAGCTCACTATTGAAAATTCAATTTATTTTTTTTTAACAGCCGGTGTACTTTACATTTTGGTTAAACCAACTGCATGTATCTATCAAATGTACCAGACTTAATAATTAAGTGCACTCAGACGCGCTTTTCGTCTCCATAAGACTCATTAGAGGGACTTGTATCAAAACCATAAGAAGGTCAAAATCAATTACTGAAGATCATTGAAAACCAAAAGTTCCCAAAAGTTATGTCACATCATGCTAAGGCCATATATGTCTGGCGGTATAAAAACCCTAGTGTTTTGACTGATTTTTTTTTTCTTTTTAGGGATAGAAAATGAAAGCCCATGTCAGCAAATTAGTAGATATGGTTAAGTTAAACATTCGAAATTTAAATTCCTTATTCTTCGCTATTAAGACGTTAGAAAAAAATCTGTCGAATTAAGAAAGGCGTACAAATAGTCCAGCGTTTCCGTAGTGGGTTAACAAGGCATATAAATATTTGGCAAATTCCTCAACAATGAGAGTTAATCAAAGTACTGAAGTACTGAACATCGGATGACCGCAAGTTCTTGTGGATGGTCACAAGCACTTGTCTCGGAAAAAAAAATCACGTCTCTATACCTGAAAGTGAGGTTAATGTACAGATATAAAAATAAACAGCTGCGCCATGAGCGCATGATACGCTCGCCGTCTTGTGTGTGAATTTTTATACAATAAGCATAAATAGTTTCTGACATACGGCGTGACATGCGAAAACCCCCCCCCCCCCTTTTTTTTTACAAAAAACTCAATATCTCTAAAATAAAATTTTGAATCAAAACCAAAAAGTAAACAGATCTTTAGATTAATATAACTAAGGAGTGTGTAAAATTTTAAGCAATAATCATAAATCGTTTTTGAGATACGGCGCGACATGTGAAAACCCCCCTTTTAAAAAAAAAATCAATATCTCAAAAATAAAATTTTGAATCAAAACCAAAAAGTATACAGATCTTTAGATTAATATAACTAAAAAGTGTGTAAAATTTGAAGCAATAATCATAAATCGTTTTGGAGATACGGCGCGACATGTGAAAAACCCCTCCCCCTTTTTTTTACAAAATACTCAATAACTCAAAAATAAAATTTTGAATCATCACCAAAAAGTATACAGATCTTAAGGTTAATATAACTAAGAAGTGTGTAAAGTTTTAAGCAATAATCATAAACTGTTTTTGAGATACGACGCGACATGTGAAAAACCCCTCCCCCTTTTTTAACAAAATACTCAATATCTCTAAAATAAAATTTTGAATTATCACCAAAAAGTATACAGATCTTAAGATTAATATAACTAAGAAGTGTGTAAAGTTTTAAGCAATAATCATAAATTGTTTTTGAGATACGGCGCGACATGTGAAAAAAAACACACACCTGTTATAGTTACTAAGTCCAGTAACTCAAAAAGTTTTCATCTTATTTTCACCAAAAAGTATACAGATCGTTTGACCATCATAAGAAACAACTATCTAAAGTTTCATGAAATGTGGATAAGTCATTCTCAAGTTACGGTGCGACATGTTTACGCCGGACAGACAGACGGACGGACGGACACCGGACATTTGTATATCATAATACGTCCCGTCAAAAATTGACGGACGTATAAAAATCTGAGACAAGTTCGTGCGTGGATGATAAATAAATGACAGGGAATTCAACCTCACAATAACTATTATATTGTAGTGATACAAATCAGTAGATACTCTGGTTTGTTGTTACATATTATATTAATATTTGTATATTACAGTTACATGTATATATAATTTTCAACTATTTGTATATCATTCTATTCTACTATATTAATAATAGTGCAGTGCAAGTGCATGGTGTACACTCTTCTGAAAAAAATCGATTTTTCTAATAGATTGGATTTGAGTAGGCATTCATATTTTCCCGCAAAACGTTCAATCTCCCATGCAGAGTTATCGGTCCTTGAGAGAGAACAAGGACCGATCATAACTCTGCTTGGGAGATTGCAAACGTTCTTGAGATATTCTTCCGCGTGTGTCAACACAACTTTTTCTGTACGTGTGCATAGATATTAATGATTTTTTACTTATATATATATATATATAACAAAACATTTTCATATTATTAATTTATGTTCTAAAAAAAATATTTTATGAGTATTCATTGAAGAAATGAATTTATAACAAGCGATAAGGAATGTTATTTTGCACTCGATGATGTCCGCGTATTTATAGATTATAGATCGGTTACCAGTCAAACACGAAAGTTACGTAATGGAAATCTCTCTGGCAACAATAAATCGGAATGCCCTCACGGTCATCGCGATGTAAAAATGCATAACCCTTCAGCAGATACCCAGGCGATAGTAAGATATGAACAAATGTTGTATGGTAAAAACAAAGGTTTCAAAAATATAATAGCTATTAACCAATCAAAATCCAAGATAGATATGTAAGGTTTTAATAAAACTAATACCCAAATAGATAATGTTCTCCAAGACTTAATTGCCAATCGGAAATACACAATGGATTCAGTGTAAAGACGTCATACGTAGATTATTGAGAAAAGCGTGACCTTGTGCAATACCAAAATATAAGTAAAAATGTATCGACAGCTTCCTATATGGTTTTATTATAAAGGAGCAATGTATTGCACAATCTTAGTTTTTCAAGTGTCAGTTTTTCTTAACTGAACTTTGTTACTACGGTGATAATGTCAGAGTAGATCATTTGCTTCTACTTTTTAGTGAGGGGAAGTTGGTTTTAGTTTGTAATCACTAGAAAACATTTTGGAAAAAATGCTTGTTTCTTTTTAAGTTCATCAACCAGGTAAGTGTAAATATATATATTGTTAAACTTAACATTTCTTTTTCAACTGTTTAAGGTAGATAGGGTGTCTCCCCCCATCTTGGATTTTGAAATACCAGAAAACAATCGGTCTAGATCTTTAAGAAAATGTGCAAGATTTGAGAATAGTAGTTAATTCATGTGTAAGAATTTTCATTTCAATATAGAAAATGACATGTTTTATCACATTTATGGTTGTATTTTATAAAAAACAGAATACTTTTGTTTGATTCAATTTTTTCCAACTTTGCCACATAAGGGGAGGCAACTCAAATGTAAGGGCAGACAATTCAGATAAAGTTACTTTTACAATAGAATATGTTAGGAATTTACCTATTTTATTATGTAGCAAGAAAACGGGTCCCGTGACCCCATTTTTTCTTTTTCTTATCTGAAAGCATAAAAATAGAGCTATCTTCTCATATTTTATCTCAAAATTCTATGGTGTAGTTTTCGTTTTATGGCAGAAAATTGGGTTTTCCATGCATAATCTATACAAAATCTGTCAATTTTGTACAACCTGTAGCGTGAAAATAAGCCCCGTGACCTATTCTTTTTATTATTATTTTTTAAAAAAGCTTGATATAAACTACATTTTGGCAAACTATTAAAAAATTCTATGGATTATAATTTAGACACCCCATCTACCTTAAATTGTAAAATTGTAATGTGTTTGATTTACAAAACATGTAATCATTAAGGTTTTATCCGATGACGTGCTCTAAGGCCAATGTATTAATATCATCTGCCTATGTCTGATCATAGGTCTTGATGTTATCGAATTTTAAATCTAATTCAGTGGTAAAAAAATCTTTTTGAATTTTGTAGTTAATATAACAAAAAATTATTTCTTTTCTCTCTTATCTAAAAAGCTATCAAAAGTAATTTATTAGTTAATATAACAAAAAAATATTTCTTTTCTCTCTTATTTAAAAAGCTATCAAAAGTATCACAAATTCTCGTAACTGTAATAAGTATTTTCAGTTGTCACTTTATCAATGCTAATCTCTCCACAGAAACTAGAATTGTATGGAACCAGACATGGTTAAAGCCTACTGTCTTCAAAGAAATCTGAATAGATTAGAGACGATGGTATGATCAGTTTGCTTTATTTTTAGCCTAGTCTTTTCTTTAAATATAAACAGAAAAGCATATGCTTGATTTATTCAGCAAACTGTGAATTATCAACAAAACAATATAAGAGAGATTCGAGTACAATCATCAAGCGAGCAGTAAAAGTAAGTAACCAGCCAAAATAAAGGTTAGTCAAATAGTTGATGGAGATGTATGCACAAAATTTACTAAACTGGAGAAACTAAATAAAAAGTCCACATTTCAATGATAATTTAAACTAGAAACAAATACGAATATTACTCATTAAGATAAATGAAAGAAAGAGAGCAACGTGGAGGAAGCGACATAATTAATGTCTGTCATAGTGATAATAGCTATGTTTTAGGGGCTATATTATCAAAGTTTATTATAGAGGTAGGAGCAATGTGGTGGGAGCAACCGTATAAACTTCTATGATAAAGATAAGAGCTATGGATTGAGAGAAAGAGTATTAACGTCTTTTGTATAGATAAAAGCAATGTGGTGAGAGCAACAGTATAAACTTCTATAATAAAGATATAACGGTGTCAACCTCTATTATATAGGTAGGAGCAATGTGTTGGGAGCAACAATCAACGTCTATAATAGAGATGAGAGCTATGCTATGAGAGAAACAGTATCAGCATCTACTATAGACGAAAGAGTAAAATGGTGGATACAACGGTATCAAAGTTTATCCTAAAGGTAACAGCAATGTTGTGGGAGTAACATTATCAACGTCTATCATACAGATAAGACCAATTTGGGCGGATTAATAGTATCTACGTCTATAAAAGAGGTAAGACCAATGTGGTGGTAGCAATAGTTTTAAAGTCTATCATTTAAGTAAGAGACATGTGAGGGCAGCAACAGTATCAACGTCTATCATAGAGGTAAGAGCAATGCGATGGGAATAACGGTATCAACGTCTATTATAGAGGTAAGCTAAATTTGACGTGAACAAAAATAAAACCGTCAGTCATGGACGTAAGAGCAATGGGCCCTCCATTTACCGTGCATTACCATCCATTCAGATACTGTGAATTCGTTCTCGTACTAAATGTACATGCACTAGTTGTAACTAGACATTAAACTAACTAAAACTTATTGTTGATGACAGTTCTATGATAGTCACTGTGTTGGTGTAAAAGCTTTTTAGAGCTTGACCCTTGTTAACCTCTTTAAGTCTTTCTGGGTTTTCTATGCCGTTGGATTGCTGTCTCATTTACGTATACCCCTTTTTTCATTTCTTATCATTGTCAATATTTTAAGGAAAACGAAGCAATGAGTCGAATATTGTAAATAATTGAACAGTGAACTGTTTGAATTTTCACTTCGAAAAAATCTTTTAAACAAAAAATCTCTTACCATTACATGCCCATTACAAGGTTATCAACCAAATACACAGGTTTTTGTAGTCCTTTTAAAGTGTTGTTTTGTATTTATTGCTCTTGAACGTTTGAAGAATTTGGATTTTTAATTTTTGATTTGAATTGGCTTTTGTATTGGCAATAATTTTTATTTTGATACGTGAACAAAATTTCATTGAACAAAAAATGCAAATTTGTCAAAATCGAATGTTAATCATCCAGATGCACATCATTCATGTATTACTTTATTGGCTTTGACTTTCTTTTCTTGTGATATCTTGGGTTTCCAAGTTTTTGGTAATTTTGAGTATGCGATGTTTGGTTTCGAGAACCACTCTCCAAAAATATATAAACACGCGCATGTGATGTATGAAATTACTTCCGATATCGTATTTTTGAATTCTATAGGATTAAACAATGTTCCTTATAATTCTCCAAACAAGCATTTGTTATCTTTTTCCTTAAATTACATCTTTATGGAACCCAACCATTCATGTGTATTGCAGTGAAATCGACACAGAAATTACATGTTTCCGCAACATGTTCTATCGAAGTTTAAACCTACAAAAGAATGCGGACAGACTAATCATATTCAAGTATTTCTAGATAAACAAAATCATGTAAGAATCATTTAAATCTGATAACTTGCAACTTAGCTTCCTGCACATTTAAGAAGAAAACTAAAACTATTATATTATGTTAATTTACGTTTTGTGATTTTTATATGCAAACATGCATTGAGACAGCAATCCAACAGCATAAAAAAATAGAAAGGATATATAGAGGTTAACATGCAGTTTCAATAATAGACAAGACTTAGTGTCTATACCATATGTCAAGATCTTATTTGACAGGAGTCTTAACATGTAATGAACTTAACCAATAATTAGTGTCTATACCATAGGTCAAGATCGACATGAGTCTTAACATGTAATGAAAATAACCAAAGTTTGCGAAGATCTGCCATGAAAATCCAAAATTTAAATGGGCAATAAATACTAAGAACAACCATTAAGGGGTTTCTGTGTGTTGTTTGAGCTCATTGCTGGTTCTACTTACAATGCCTAAGTCTATGTC